CATGTAACACTTTCTGGAGAATACCTGATGAACACTTTCTGTCATTTCAATTATAAAAATAGAACAGATTAAGAAAGTCATGATTATTTACACGAGGAATAGTGAGTTCTCATTTACCTATTATCTCATAATACATGTAACACATGGTGGAATTTTAACTATATAAAAGCTGACTAATTTGAAATAATCCTCTTACATGTCTTGCCTCTTCACAATTAGCGTCATCGCTTTTACTCAAAATATGGTGGAACTCTCCATTCATGAACTATTAAGCATTTAGCACCAGTGTTTTACATTGAAACGAACTGAAAACAGACATCACCTTTTGTCAGCTTCTGATGTCATGGAAAACCAATAAACATACCCAGATTTTTTTCCGGAATCTTTGTGTCCAGAAATTAATAGTGTTGATCATGTTGATGGAAATGTTAATACCTATTTAAGCAATCCCCTCAAACATTCTTAAAAAAGGTTGTCACAGGGTCTTAAGCCACCAAAACCAATTCTCTGATCGCTATTGCAGCTGGATTCCCTGACGATCATGTATCATTATTCAGATCGCTAAACTTTCTTCTCTCACAGTTTATGCACCCAGATGACATTAAAGATGTCTTTTACAGTCAAAATAAAGCAAAACTAAATCCTATTTCCATTTTTTGCTTTTGTTGCAATAACCAGTTTGACATTTCGATAGATGTATTTCCCCAATCAAAGACCTTCATGATTTAGTCTACTGTTAATATGCATTGCTTTTGTAGCTACCCGGTTCTTGCTTTTTGTTGGCCATGATGAGATGAATTTCACGGACGCTAGAGAGGCTTGTGAAAATACCGGGGGTCGTCTAGCTGCCCCGAGCTCCTTCACAGAAGAGGAAAAACTAGATGTGATGCAATGTATTCCTCCTAATATCGTCTTCTGGACCAATCAGAAGGGATCAAAGGATGGTGTGTATTTACCAAATGACTAGCATCAACTCATCTTGCAAACATTTGCAGATTTACGACTTAGCAGATGATTAAAAGAAATTAAATCTAGCAAAGAGCATTCTTAAGCACGAAATATAATGAAATAAAGTATAATCTAATGATAAGATCTATATATACAGTAGTTAGATCAGATCTAGATACAAATGTTAAAATTTTTTTCCATAATTACAGCCTGCTTGATTAATTACCATTTGGACATTAAGTGTTTCTACCAGAGAAGATACTACTCACACGCATTTCTCTGTGAAGCAGGTATGTACAAATATGGAGAGGCAAATTTATGTAAAAAAAAAAAAACAAAACATTTTAATATTCACCTGTAGAATTATTTTATTAATTTATGTAGCAATTTTTCATTTTAACATGCATAATACTAGTATGGTGTTTAAATATTCCAATTGATCCAATACGCAAGAGCGTGTTCTGTCTACGAAGAAACAATACATATTACAGACAAATAAGTTGATGATACAAAGACATCAACAATATTCTTTAAAGTCAAAATTTCGCAAATTCTACGGTTCATACAATGAATTGTTTGCAAATACACTCTGTCATGAGTCGAATATTGACTGAAGTTTTTCATACATATTGTTAAGCCATTGTTTAAAAACTGAATTGTCTACTATACATGTAACAGATTCCTCCGTTAATCCGATCACAGCGAGTATGGCCGGGGATGCTTACTCCTCAATGATACTTGATCCCAACTAGACGTTAAACACAAGATCTATCTTTGTCTCGCATTTATGATAATTGTTAAATTGTACTTTTGAGCATGATTACTTTTCGTTTTCTTCACTGTCATATAAGAAGAGTATCTCATCTTTAGTTTTACGCTGTTTACTGCTGAAACGAAAAGGCTCAAAGCAACTCTCCAAAGAATTAAATGTTCCCTCGCAAAATTAGTATTTTAACGAGAAAATATTTGGTTTGCAACCTAATTAAACCAAAAGGAAAATCAGTTTAAACAATTCTCGTGCATTGCTTTACAGAACGTTTATGAAACACAGGGGGAAAATGCCTTGAAGTTCTTTGTTAGTACGGGAATTAACGTTGTAGCTGTTGCAGAAAAAATACAAAACCCGCGTAATCGGGTCATATATTTTTTTCTTCAGTAATCGCTGCAATTGATTCCCGTACTAACAAAGAAAGAAATACAATCATATAAAGTAGGTTTAAGTACATAAAATATAGTATTATTGATATGAAGGTCATTGTAAATTTCATTGATTTGAAAAGCTCGCTGCAAAAAAGCTTGAAAATCTAATTCTAACTGATGTTTACTGATTGATGGAAAAATAGTTTTCCTAAGAAGTGAAGGAAAAAATCTTCAGTGGATTAACTGTCGAACGCCGAAGGCGTTTATGCATAAAATTATTAAGCAAGCCAATTGCTTGATCATCTTCTTGAAACCAAAAAATCTGACAGTTATATTTCTTATATATATTTACATGCTATTGATTCTGTAAATTCACATACTTCAAGCCCCCAACTACTTCTCTCTCTCTCTCTCTCTCTCTCTCTCTCTCTCTCTCTCTCTCTCTCTGGAAGTTATTTTTTATAATCACGCCTATCGACGAAAGAGAAGCTTTATTTAGAAATCAAGTAATTTCAAATTACTATTTGCAGTTTTAGCAGGGACAAAGAAATTAAAAAATTTAAATATATGTAAATATTCTGAATTCGAGACAGATAGTAATACCCTAAAGATTACTGTATCTTATTATTGAAATTTAATTCTTTATAGATCCCAACAACACATAAATATCAAATCAAATCTCTTATAATGCTGTGCTTAAGAAAGACTGTAGCATATATTAATGTAATAATAGTATAGTTATCGTCTTCCAGAAAGACACTCGATCCGGTACACGTACTTTGTCAGAGTGGGGGATGTGTGCAGTAACCCAGACCACAGTCACTCCAGCCTGTCGCAGGTTCTAAATGTCACCATACCTACGCCCACAAGACCCACTAAAAAACCAGTGTCCATTAGGACCGCCGGACCAATCAGAACTTTACAGACGATAGGACCAGATGGTGATGGAATGACTCCACTACCCGCCATTACAAGCACACAGAGCAATAACAACGGGACGAATAATGACAAACGGAAGAAGAGAAAGGAGACTGGTAGTATGGCCAACATAGGTAATGTTAATTAATACTCTTAATAACAACACAATACGAAATACTGACGGTACATGTATTTACTATATAAATACATGTAACGAACAAAACTTTAGTTTGCGATGATGTTTAGAATTTTGAAAATCAAGATAGAAAAGATAAAATATATAGTATACATAAAACTCTATGTGAATCAAATATGTTTGCAAATACATGTAAATACAACTTCAGAAAATCACCGTAGGCCTGTTGTTTTCAATAAAAAAGTTTTGTTTTCAACAAAGAAGACATTTCAGTTTTATTGTTTTACAGGAACCACTGCTGCAGTTATAATATTTATTTTGGTCGTCGCATTTACAATATTAGGATTTGTGTACGTCTATGTCAAGAGAAGGTATGTATATTTTTAGTATTTCATACACATTTATGACTTTAAAAATCGTAGACGTTCAGTTCAGTAATGATTTTAAGCTATTTTAAAAAGGCTCATGTGTATTCCATCGTTTTAGGAAACCGGAACTTCTTAGAAGAGCGTCATTTTGGAAGAAACCAGAACCTGCACAAAATGAGTACGACACTGTACATCCTCGGGCAGCACAGGAACACTCGTATGGATACATGCGGGCATCCGATCCTCATGAAGACTACTTACAACCAAATCCCTCCGCCATCCGATCGCGGAACATCGATAACATAGATTATCTGGTGGAGGCAGATGATAATATTATTTCTGGCGTAGACAGTGTATCATCGAATGGCCAGGCTGTACTAGAAAATGATTATGACTACATTCATATAGATGATGCAAACTGCAGCAAACCGCCACCACAAGCCACATATGACCTTGCCCGAGCTATTCCGATCACTAACGATTATGAAAAATGTAACCAATCACAACTCAAAGTTTCAACTGTTTCATCACAACATGATTATTATAACACTTTCAAGGCGGTTAAACCTAATGCAGAAAAGAAAACCAAAACCACAGAAAATGATTATGACAGAACAAACGTCACATAATTTTATAATTTCTTTTACTGAATTGTTGACATTGTAACTTTTTTGTACACTTGTTTTTAAACCAATTTAAAAGAATTTATACAAATGTTATTGTTGATATGAAAACGTTTCAATATTTTATAATATTCCACGATTTCTGTCTATAAAACAATAATCTTCAGAACTTTCTGTTAAATTGTAGTTTTACAGACCGCATGGTTAAGACAGTCAACATCAATTATACTGACTAAATATTAAACATACGGCTTTCTGCTGATATTGCAAATTCCTTAAGAGGAGGAAACATTTAATCTGAATGAACTAATTCAAGATTAATCATTACAGCTATACATAATTTTCCTTTGTGAGTTTGCCTTGATATTATAGGAGAACTCCAAGAAACATATTACAGTTGGCTGCGGTAATTCAATGAAACATCATTTTTCTCCCTAAGCTTTGGTATACTAAGTGTTCAATCCCATGCTGGATAAGATTTGAGGCTTCAAATATTTGTAGTCGTACTGATCCTATAGGAGAAATTAAAGTGATTTGTACTTAGAGTATGAATAGTTCAAACAATATAATAAACCAATGAAGGCAACCAACAGAGTCGCATGATAAATAATGCTTTTTATCTCAAAGTACCAAATTTTTGTAAATATTCCGAGATATTTCTATCTATTTCATTACAGTTGGAAAGGATTAAGAGTGTCTAATTTACCCGACTGACAGTTTAACTAATTTAGCCTCAAGTAGTTATCAAGGTTAGACTGTTCTTTGAATGAGTAATCATGACTGTCCCAAATTAAACGCGTTCTTTGTACTAATTTTAAAAAATCCCGACTACTTCCCACGGGCGATTAGACCCAGGATGGCTGAATGTGTCATGCTTTAAATTTGATTGTAGATTAAATATAGTATGTGCCTGGTGACCTTTAGATTTAAACACATACTGGGTATGTAAACAACAATGGCGGAACACAACAGTGTCAGGCGTTGGATATTGTACTCTTTATGGATCTGTGCAACTCCAGGTAAGGTGTTATTTATTTATTTTATTTTTTGTATCCTTCATAAAATAGCCTAAAAATAAATGTGTTTTTCACAATATTTTTCTGATAAGATATTTATAAATGTGTCCTGTCACTTACACTGTTCACTGGTTATGAGGCATTACCACCGATTAGTTTTGATGGATGGAGAAACTTTTGACGTCTTCTACCTGTACGGGCGGATCATTTGTTGCAATTTTCTAATGTAATGTTCAGAAATGCCAAAAAAATATATAGTTCTTTTAATTTCATTTGAAATGTATATAAGAGTTTTCGTCTAGTCTCAGATATTGAATACCACCAGCTGATCACTATACCATGCGCGGATCTAGAGGCGGGGGGGGGGCGTTCTTACCCCACACGACCCCCCTTAAAATGGTAAGGAGAGTCATATGTGTCTTAAGAAAAAAAAATAGGAAAGTGTATTCGTCAACCCCGACCTCAATCCGAAATAGACTTTTCAAAAGTTGATTAGGATTTTTTCTTGGTCAAAAATTTCTGAGTTTGACATCTGTTATATAGAGTTGATGTAACCCCCCCCCCCCCCATTTCCTAAAAAAATATCCTGGATCCGCGCTTGTTTTCGACGAACGATTAAACAAATTAAGAATTTTAAAACAACTGATAATAAAATTAATTCCATATACTGTATATATTAGTATAGAAGGTAATTCTGTACATCTTAACAGCTATAAATTTAATGACATACGAACTGACCCACTTATGCATTATTGTCTAGTTCGAGCCATTATCTTTTACACAAACCGTGCACTCTAAAACACTAGTGAAACGGAAATGTTAGAACCTCTGTGTACTTGGACAATAGTGACTCGTGATGATGTCACATAGAACTATTACTGAACTGTACCTGAACTCAATCAGGTCAAGGGAAAATGATTAAACGTCCTCATCATTGCTTCAAATATTGCGTTTACTTTCAAAATTATGCAATTGTCATTTATTTATGCTGATTTTTTAAAAGTTGTTTAATTAAGTACCATATAAATTAGAAAGAAATACACACACCAAAACACTATAATTATAAACTTTTTAGACATTTCTGTACTTGAATGATACCCTTTGCAAGCCATGGAATGTCACATCATTTTAAGGTATTTTACAGTCGCTTGAATTTGATTCACTGGAATTTTGAAATTGGACCACTAATAGACTGACAAGGACCTAAAATTTTCTACAAATACGAGATAAAGTGTACTAATGCATTTTTATATGCGGTGGTATTCAGTTACATGTACAAATGAGTTGTATGCGCCATCCTCTTCAAGGTTATCTGTGCACACAACCCAAAAAAACAATTTTACATCTACAGTTGGGAGCACAATGTAGTGTTTGCAGTCCAGTTCATAGAACAAATACATGTACACTGTCCATCTGTCAATTGTGGCGTGTACAACGTTGCATTATTATACCTTTTTATTACTTTTTTGTTTTTTGTTATTCCTATTCAAAAATTTTGTTATTATTAATCTAAAAATATCATTCCTATTCGATAAAATATGATTCCTATTCGACAAGTTGTTATTCTTAAAATCAATCTGTTTTTAAAAAAAAAAAAAAAAAGAATAAAAGAGGAGCGGATCGAGGATCTGATTTTAATCAGACTAGTGCTTACATAGAAGTATGTTTATGCTTATGCAATGATTTCAAACACGTGTATTCTAAGGTGACCGTGTTTTTTTTTCTATTTCAGTATATTCCTCTACTTTCTACTTTGTTAAAGACCGTAAAATATACTCAAAAGCGGAGGAGTATTGTCGTAAAGGAACTCTCTACCAGGGGGAGCTCGCCGTTCTCTCATCCAATCAGGACTGGGACTGTATACCTCAAGACGTCTGGTTCTGGTCTGACAAAAAAGGTATCAAACCATTACAGTAGGATATATCTTGATAATATTTGCTGGCTAGTATTGGTGACTCTCAAATTATATTAATTAAGTGTTGAATCTTCATACTTGCTATATTACCTTTGGTTCATAAATTGATATCTAAAAAAATGAAGATATACATTAGGTTAACTTTAAACCATTTCCCGACTCAGGATGAAAAAAAAAATTGATCGGTAGGCAGGTGGGATATTTTTTTCTTCAGAAAATTTTAACATCAATGCTGAATTTTCAAAATCTATTTTCCGAAATGCATAAAAAAAAAATAATTGTTTCCTGGAGGTTAAAAAAGGTTTTGATTCGGGTCATTTCTAGCCAGTCAGTCATGAGTGGGCAACCAAACAACAAATTATTTTTTAAGATAACCTTGTTTTAACCATTTTTTCCCGTTTGCCCTGTTCTTTTTTTCAAATTCCTGGGTACGTTGATATTTGCGATTTTTTGAATGGGATTTTTTTATATACAATTAGCGTATGAAAACTATTGCTTAAATTTTAAAGTTTAGATTTGTTATGATCTTTATATTTTGTTTCTTCATAAATCAGTATTTTGATTCATATAACTTGATAGGTATAGACAGAGACTCTTTTTTTAATTGCATCGTATTTCAATCATCAGAGTGGCATACCGTTTATGTTAGCAACATCCCATAGAAAGAACATAGACTTTCTATATCTGATTTTTTTTTTCTCTCGTCGATCTTCAAGTAGCTGCAATAATGTAGCCCTGTCCTTTGAGGGAGGGGGGGATCAGATAAAAAATATCGGAGAGGGCTACATTATTGCAGCTAGTCTTCAGGGAATGCAAATACTTTGATTTATGGTCTATTTTATTAATCTTGGATATGCCGATCATCAATTAATGTTGCGATTAATGATTCATTTTTTTTCAGAATGCAGATTAAACATCTTTAATAACTTCCGCTGTAGAGATGTTTCGATCTTTAATAGATTGCTTGGATTAAATACAAGACCCTTCCTATGCAAGACAGGTACATATACAAGCATATTATATGTAACATAAGAACATTTCTTAGCCAATAATTAATAGCAGGTAATCTTTACGGATGTAAATATAATTTTTCCATTTGAAACAATTCCATCAAATATTCCTTTTTCAGATGAAGACCTGATCAAAGATGACTCACCAGAATACGCAGGTTATGGGTCGGATTACTTCTTTGATGAGGATGTATCAATTTGTACCAGCCCTTTGGTACCCCCGGAGACCACCCCTATTTTCAAGAGCACACCGAACCCTGAGGGTTCGACGGTTGCATTCAATACGACAAAGAATGAACAATCTGAACCCGACCACGGTAAGATTTAAAAGTAAAAACTTTCTGCCATAGTGGGGATAGATACCAATTCAAGACAGATCATTTCAATGCATAACTTCGTGAAAAGTACAAGGTGTACTTCAGAAATTGGTCTTGTTTATTAGTGGAAAAAAAGGGATTCAGTTGATATCTTGAGCAAAAAATTGAAGAAATTTTGATTTTGCTCATGACATATATATTTCTCTTTCTACGTACTACAGAACAGAACTGAACATTTTATTTCTAATTTAGAGTCCAGAACAGACAAGAATGGAATTATTACAATAATAAGGAAAAAATATGCCAATGAACAGTATTATAATCAGTAAATGACATTGCTCATTTCAACAATACTCTTGTACTGTTTAAGTTAAAAGGAATGCAATATATAAGAGTGTATGACTTACTATAACATGTTATATATAAATTTGCCCACAAAATTAAGAGTTTCCTTATCTTCAGTATTGAGTAACCAAAATATTTCTTGTTCATCATCTAAATCTGTGTAGCCCATTTTGAATCTATAATTTTTATTGCACACAATACCTGTATTTGTCTTTGCCATTGTATTCCCCATTTCTTCTTTTATCTACATTATCTCAACAGAAATATTCGATGTTCTTTTCATGATAAAGATTTATAAAGGCATGCCTGCGGCATAATCCTGTTTAGACTAATTCTATAAAATATTGCCTCTATTTTATTGTTAACCATTTTTTTCAATCAAACGTCCTCTTTTAGGTTGGATAGCTGGTCTTGTAATGGGCATCTTCATATCCCTTATAGTTGTTGTATGTGCAGTTTTCATATTCATAAAAAGGTACGTATTTGAAGACAAAAAAATTAGAAGCTTCTTGTGCATCATGTTTAAAAGTTCGGATTTAGTTGATCTTTTATTTAAATTTAACTCAGCTGTTAACACATGCAACGTTTTCTATTCTACTTCCAATTATTTTAACGATAAGACGTTTTAAACCTTTCAGAAGGAATCCAACAAAAAAGAAAAAAGATGCCGAGGTAAACATGGATAACGGACAAACAAACGAACGAAACGATCGTCTGACGTCAAGGATTGGTACCGCCTTACAGAGGTGTAAGCAGAAATTTCAGACTAAGTCTCAGCCGGAAATGTATGAGCCACCCGTCATTGTCAGGCAAGAAAGAGAGTACGACCAACTCTCCCGACCAATGATTCCGTCAACGGAATTAGTTTACGCGGAACCCACGATGTCGTCTGCTGCAGGGATAGAACAGGATGAGTTGGGTTATCTCGTTTCTCAGGGGAGTGAAACAAAGGAATACATGTACATTGACACGGTAGACAGCGTGGATGGTTCCCAGTCCTCTCACGAGGGTCTGGACTGCGGAAACCCCGTGTACGAAGTCATGACGGATAAAAGAGAGATAATAGCTGGTAACTGTGATAAACAAATTCAAGACTCAGACGAAACAAGTAGTGCTTCTGGTGTTCAAGCGGTGAAGGTTAGAACTCATGAATATCAAAATTCGCCAGCAATAGGGAGATTGCTGAAGAAACAGCAGGAAAAATCAGATCTAGAGACACCAGAAACCGCAATATCCAACGGTATTTACGATGATAAGTTCTCATCTCCACCCCAGATGGCGTCAGCTGTCATAAAGGACGATAGTTTACAAACCGCTACTTCAAATGATGACTCGTCAACTGCTACAACAAAGAAAAATGTGAAAGGCAGCAATATCAGAAACATTATTTTAAAACTTCAAGGAGCGTCTGATGCTTAGAATAGCAATACCTGTGATAAAACATTACAGTATATATAAAATTATACACCTTTCACTGCCAAAGTAGGGCTTTCTTTTGAGTATTAAATATAATATTTATTGTATCTTATTGTTTTGTATTTTCAATACTTAGTTGTGAATTAGACTTCATTTAATTCTTCATAAATATCACATCTTTGTCGTTCGAATGCACCGAAATACGCATGAGAAGATGAAAGGCGTTCATACAACCAGTAAGCAAGGAAAGTGCAGGGACAGTGCGTTACTTCATATGTAGCTTTCGGTAGGAATTTACAAAATCGACTCGATCGCTAGTCAAAGCAATTTCGCCAAGGTATTTGATGCCAAAAATAGTAGACAAAACTTTGTTTCTTTGTATCATGATTAATAGTGCAACTTGCATCTAGGTTTTGAAAAATAGCTTTAAAAAGAAAAAACATGTTCTGGGCCCAAATATTAATGTTTGCAGCAATACAGAAAAGTGACCGTGACTGTTTCCAAAAGTCAAAGACTTGTGATGTCTTATATGCATAATAAAAACATTTGGGAAAACAACAGTTACTAGAACATACGTTTTTCATCGAGTAAGCATTGAAAGCATTAATTTCTCTCTTTGATTAGTTATATATAAAAAATAAGTTGAAATGTATAGTCACCGATTTTGATGGTTTTTGCATTATTCTCGTTAACGTGGTACAACTTCATCCTCTCCCCCGACACAAAAAGCCACTTGTGTCTGTTGTCCAAACAGTTATGACGCGTTCCGAGCCTTAAGATTAATCATTACAACATTTATTTTATAGTTTTTTATGTTAGTAACTTTGATCCTTGTTCAACATTAATGTCTTATATAAGCACACTAATGTAACGAGGGGGTACCAATAATTGTGAAGTCAGTATGGTTTCTTTCCCTCGTGAGCATGGATAAGTATGATTAATGATGTGTTGAAACGAGGTTCTGATCGGATAATGTTTAATATCTTCAGTTATTGTCTCCAGTTTTATAAACTACCACGTTTGACATCCAAGAAAAGCCTGGCAAGGTATTTTTAAATCTAAACTGTGTACATAACAATAATCTTATATACTCTTTGAAAATGACAGATAATTATCGTATATTTTTCAAAATAAGATGAGCGTATTTGGCGGGTGATCAGCAAGAATCATGTGTACGAAATATATTGGTTCAGATACAAACTACAATCTACACACTTTTTCAAAGTTATGCACATGGGAAAATGTCACTTTACATTGAAATACCTTGTCAAATTGTAATATTTAAGTCTGCTTATCTTAGAAATTACGATTACATAATTTTAACACTTTACATAAATAATAAAGACCTTCAAGATAATAGCTAGGTTATAGTAGTAGTTAAATGCAATTATACTGAAGTTTCAGTAAGGTGGAAGAATTCCCTTCGCTCTTGGTGGAACTGAACCAAAATTTATCTATTTTACAATTTTAATAAATCAGTAAATAAAATTAAACTGACAAACGACTTGATTGTTTGTATATTAAAAAGAAAAAAGATAATAATAATAAATGCTCCATCCGAGGATCGAACCAAAAGCTTCTCGATTCCTGGGCGTTCTGAGTTATAACGCTTTCTACTGAGCTATCCATTCTTCAGTTGTCGAAATATGTGTTTAAAAATGTAACATTTTGTACCAAATGACTCATCAATATTTTTAGTTGTATTCTAGCAAATCAAAATACAACATCGGTAAAATATTCCCCTTTCCTATTTCACAAGAACTCGATATATCAAAAGAATGCTCAAATTTCATGTGACAGATCAATGAAATTTTCATTTTTCAAGTGCGCCCAGATTCCTACCGAATGCCAGTCAAATGTGTCCTCGTTTATTATACTTTTTCAAAGAATTTATTATACGTATTCTAAAACATATCATTCATATTCGATAAAATGTGATTCCTATTTGATAAATTTGATAAATTGTCATTTCTATTCGATAAATTGTTATTCCTATTGGAAGAAATATGATTCCTATTCCAAAATATATATCATTCATATTCGAAAACATGTGTTTCCTGTTCGATAACATGTCATTCAAATTCGAAAACATTCGATTCCTATTCGATAATTTTGTCATTCATATACGACAATTATGTGATTTATATGCAATAAACTTGTTATTCCTATTCGAAAACCTATTCGAAAACATACGGTTCCTATTCTATAATCTTGTTATTCTTATTCGATAATTTTATCATTCCTGTGCGATGTTTTCTTATTCTTATTCAATAATTGCACTCTGGGTAATATGACAAAAATAGCAATGGTATATATTTTTCAATAGGAATAACGTTTATCGAGTATAAATCATTTAATCATCGAGCAAGAATGACAAAATTATCGAATAGGAATGCGAATATCGAATAAGAATCACATGTTTTCGAATAGGAATGATAAATTATCGAATAGAAATCACATTATTTTCGCATAATAAATTATCGAATAGGAATCACATTTTATCGAATAGGATTGTTTTAGAATAAGAATAACAAAATTTTTGAATAGGAATAACAAAAAAGTGTAATAATGCAACGTTTTACACGCCATACTCGTTCATCGCAGTATCCAGCTACAGATACAATATTATTAAATTGCATATCTGACTCTTCTGGATTCTGGAGTAAACGTTGTTCGATCTAAAAGTACATGTGATGAAAAAATCTCTTTAATACATTACATAGGAAAATTTACAGGAAACTGTAAATCCATAGCAAAGTAGTAATTATGCGAGGCAGATGAATCACTTACATGTATTTACTACTGCCGATCAAAAACAAAAAACATCCCACCTCTGATGTTTTTGAAGGTCTGTGTTTGCTCTGTTCCTGATTTGTATTGTTTAAATGGACTTTGAGTTCGAATACTGTTAGTTATCTCCATATTTCATTAATTAACGGAATTAATCTTTGAAACAACCATTTAATGTTTCTAAAATTATTACAGTCAAACCTTCATATCTCAAATGTCGGAAAACATGATGATAAAAAACTGATTTTTTTTAAAACTCTGATGATAAAAAACTAGAGGAACCCATGCAAATCTATATAAATGTATTTTGTTTGGCAGTTCGAGTGCATATATCTGTTCATGATAGATTTCAAAATGCTAATCTTCAAACAAATTTCTAACTTAAAGTAATCAGACATTATAAAAATGCATATTTCTATACGTTACTTTCCCCTTTACGGATTAAAAGAACAATATAAAATTTTAAATCTTTAAAAGTATGCTCTTATGATACACATTAATGATTCAGTATTAATGTGAATTTTCTAAACAAATGTATTCCAAATATTGATTTAGTAAACAACCCTTCTATTGAAAGTAGAAGATCTTCGAACTTCACATAATTACAGAAGGGAATTCGAATAGAGTTTCATCATTAACACTGATGATCAATTAATTCATAACCATTATTTCATATTCAGTGAATGTGTGTACAGGAATATGCGACAAATTAGACCATACACTGGTTAAACATTTTTGCTTTAACTTCTACGAAAAAGTTCTTCCAAGGATATTCGTCTCTGATTAACAAATAAAGCCGTTCACTGTGTATATTATATGCACTTTTTTTTCAGGAGCAAACGCGTTAGATAAATTCTCACCGCCATCTCTGTGTGATCATGGCTCCAACAGATCGTATTTGATTTCACCCAAGTTAATTGTTAAATTTTCCTTGCGCAGGACGCACGAACACGTTTTGTGTGTACTTTGTTCTATAAATTTGCTTTTCACAATATCCATGGAAACACACTTTAAGGTACACCGAGATACATGAGTACGCTGAAACGTCTTCTTTACAATTCAGTTTCAGTATAAATTATACTTTAAAAAAGCTTTTGCAAGACTGAAATTACCAGCCGAACTGAATATTTACAAATGTCACAAAGATGTATATCTTGGCGATTTTCAAAAACCTTTATATTACTTTAACGAAGAATGAAGTTTGTGTGGAATAGTTTGTAGCATGCTGTGAAATTTTGTGTAGATATTTTCTGACACTAGTAGGGTATATTCCTTCATCCAAAATGAAACACGAAAAAAGATCACTGACGTAAGCACATAATTTTGAAGTTAGACATCTTTTAAATGTTTTATTAACGTTGTAAAAACTGCGATTCGCAACTAAAAAAGCTTCTTCTGTGTATAATGTAAATTGCTCCTCGGAAAATCCGAGAGGCAGACTCGGTGTTAGGTTAGTTAATTACTGAATTTACTTATAATATCTTACTTATACATCTACATAGACTAGAGATTTGATTGGTGCTGCCAGTGGTTTCCCTTCGCAGTGGGAATGCCTCTATCCAAATTTAGGTTGTATATGGTTCAAAACTACAAATAATATAAACTTCCACACACAAAAAAATTCATAAAATTTTATTTCAATATTTAACAGTATAAAAAAGCCCTTTATAAAATAAATTTATAATTAATTTAAAATTAAAATAAATTAAGATTTCGAGAATGATGAAAGGATTATAAGAAAAAAAGAAATTGTTAATGATAGAGCTTTCTGTGCAATGCAAGTTAATACGAGACATGTATCTTCAGAGCACACTTTTCCATTTTATGTATGTTCTGAGCATTTATATAAACGAAGTGAATTGTTATGGCATATGTTGATTTTTTTTCCATTTCAGAAAAATCTGTCCTACAAAAGTTTATACAACTTTACACAAATCGCATTTCTTACAACAGTAAAATAATACAGATCGAATTATTACATGATACTAGTCAATCAGACAAAAACTCAACAATTTCATTCTAGAAAAACTGCTTCCAGAGAAAGATGGATCTATTTAATATTACATAAAAAGAATTATTACAACGAATGTTTCCCGCCACGATGTCAAAACACACCTGTGTTACATAAAACACGATTGGAGCTAATACATTATACGTCGACGACAACAGAGGAACTTAATTTCCCTTCTAAAACGGAAATCAAACAGGCAGTAAATGATAGGATTACAGACAGTATTGAATATGTAGAACCGGTACAGGAAAAGCACAAATCCTAG